GGTGTCATGCCCCTGCCATGCTCCTCTCCACCCTTTTATCCCACTTGATTTGCTTCTTAGCATCTTTGTGAACCAACATTTTGTTTTCTCCTGTGAGAGTTATTATCACCAATGAATGATTCGTGTTCAAGAGGCCTATTCATTGAAGAAGCATGCCCGTCTCCCTTGTTCACCCCTCACCCATGTCTGCTGAGGCACCAGCCCTTGGGAAGCAGTGGATGATTATCTCCGAATGAGCCAATGATCAGAGCGGAGTTGAGATTTTAGACCAGAGCCATCTGACTCCAAAAATCCATGTTCTTTCCCTGATACCACATGGCTGCCTTGGATTGGTTCTGCTTATCAAAGTACACTGGTACATGCTAGTTACCAGCTAGGAAGGGTTTGGGGGCTCACCTAACAACTCTGGGTCTTATTTCCATTTTTAAAATAAGAAACCAAGCAGGGCTCTGTGGCGCATGCCTGTAATCCCAAAAGCTTTGGAGTCTGAGGCAGAAGGATAATGAGTTCAAAGCCAGCCTCAGCAACTTAATGAGATGCTAAGCAATTCAGTGAGACCCTGTCTGTAAATAAAATACAAAATAGGGCTGGGGATGTGGCTCAGTGGTTAAGTGCCCCTGCGTTCAATCCCCAGTACCAAAAACAAACAAACAAACAAAGCAACCAAGTCATCCTTGTCTAACTTCCAGATCTAGGTATCCAGGGATAAATGACCTGTGGCTGTGTTTATAAATTGGTATATCATGTCAAGGTACGTTATCACCCTTACAACATGGGGAAGAAAGAAGAGGAAAAAGGAAGAAATTGAGTAAGAAAAGAAGGGAAAAAGAAAAAGATGGTGATGTTAAACTGACTGGTTTAGAAGAAACTAAGTCTAAATGTTGGGATTTAATAGGAGAAAAAAAATACATCAAAAGTACTCATTTGTCCAGGAACAAGATTTAGATTCATTTGTGTCTGCTACAAAAAGGACACAACCTTGTTTTTTTAAATTAATAATATGATTTGTTTGTTACACTGAAAACTCTTTCAAGTGCCTTTGTGTTTATTTCAGTCTTTTCCAAACACATCAGGGGAACGTGGTTACAGCCTCACTTACACATGATCAGTTTTGGTTTTCTTCATCCTTGTTTCAAGACCTGTTATAAAGAGCTCCAAGGAGCTACTTGGCCTTTCTTGGGTTAGTCACCTCTGATGCTGAGTGCGGGAGGCCAAGCGAAAGGACAGCAATAGCCACCTTCCTGCCACACCGTGGCAAGCATGCCGAGCACAACCAGGTCTTGTTTCCATCAACTTTTCAACACTGTGACTAAAATACCCAACAAGAACAATTTAGAGGAGGAGAAGTTCATTAGGCTTATAGTCTCAGAGTCTCAGTACATGGTCAGCTGACTCCATAGCTCTGGGCCCAAGTGAGGCAGAACATCATGGCAGAGGGGTGTGACAGAGAAAAGTAGCTCAGCACACAGCAACTAGGAAGCAGAGACAAAGCTCAGCTTATACCAGAGACAAAATACAAGCCCCCAAAGGCCCCCAGGGACCTACTTTCCTTCAGCTACACCCTACCTGTCTACAGTTACCACCCAGTTAATCTACAGGAGTGGATTAATCCACCAATTGGGTTAAGTTCTCACAACTTGATCATTTTGCTTCTGAATATTCTTGCATTGTCTCATTTTGGGGGAACAACACATATCCAGCCGGTAACAGGTTCATAAAGATCCATTGGTGCAACTGATGCTTCTAACTTCCCCATAACTGAGACACTAGATTCTTCAGGGAAGCAACCTTATCTTAAATCCATAGTATTCCATTTAATCTACTGCAGTCCTGCCATAAAGACTGAATGAATTATGTAAACAAATAGTCATCAGACTCTCTTGAATGCCTCTAATAATGAGGAACCTACTTCTCCTAGCCCATTCCACACACTGGGGAAGCTTTTTATTGGGCAAAGAGTGTGTGTGGCATGGGGGCGGGGGTGGGGGTACAGTGGCTTCATGGGCAGAAGGACTTCATCTAAGTTCCTGGTCTATCACTTCTTGGACATGTCCCTGGATGTGCCACTGACCCTCCTTTAGCCTTAATTTCCTGTGTGTATAAACAGAGGTTGGTGCAAGTGCATGGAATGAGATGGAGCTGGAAAGGTGAGTTGAGACAACACTAGTTTAGTATACATACCCCCAGGCATCTTTTGCCCTCTGTTTAGAGAAGCACAGTATTTAAGACACAAATCTAAAGTCAGAAGACTGATTCTGATCCCAGTTCAAATCTTGACTAATCAATGTGAGTCTGGACTAATCAATCCATGCCCTCATTTCCATATGGGTAAAGATGTGACAATCACTGAGCCTTATCACAGAGTTGATGTAAGGATGAACTAAGTCAGTACTTGCAAAGCATTTAGTCCTTGGATTGGCCATTATAATGGCAATGGTTAATATTGCAATCATTAGTGCCATTGAAGAGGTGGAGATAAGATCACAGCCTTTGGGTCAGGTACTTGCTGTATAGGATCCAGGGGAGGAACTGTGTCATTGCAATTCTAGGTGACAGGTGCTAAGAATCCAGAGTGTCAAAGGTAAAGAGAAGAAAATGGGTCAGATGCCAGGTATGTCTGAAAGTTGAACAAAATTTGGCAAATGTCTTGATCTGGCTGGTAGGGGAAATGGAATCATCAGGAAGAAGCTAGAGGGATTTATTTTGAAAACGTGTCCGTTTGCACACTGAGGTGTTTAAGTTTCATTAGAAAATAATTTTCCCTGCTCTAGACTGAAAACTTCTCATTCAAGCTGTTATAACCAATGGCCCTGGTCACAGTGGGCTTTCAGAATTTGTTGAATGAGTAGCTGCCATCCTCATGGAGACACAAATGCAGCACAGGGATAGGTCTTCCCCTGGAGGCCTTTGAGAACAGGTTGGGAAAATACAAAAGACCTGGTAGGAGTGCTTTACACCTACCACAGTTTTAACTGAAAATATTGAAAGAGGGATCCACTTCATGCTTTTAACATAACACTTGCTGTTTATTTGTAAATAAACACTTTTTCCCCTTTATCTTCTCCTCTCTCCCTCCCTAAACATGGCAGAGCAAGATAAATCTTCTTCCCACCCCAGACTGAGTTATCTGTCCTTAAGCACACACACCACAGGAATGAATTCATTCAGACCTTGGGGATGGTGCAGAAGACCTAAGAAACTGCTATCTTTCAGGGTTACAAGTGAATTATGACCCCTGACAGAACACACCTAGAACATAGACTTTGAATCACCTCTTTAGTAACCCTCTATTCACCATAACAGTCAGAATCCCAGCCTCTAGGACAAGAGTCTCTTATGTTTCTCCTTTGCTAGCAAAGCAATAAAACTTCTTTTGCCTTCTTCTCAATACCATGTCCTCACTATTGGATTGACATAGGGCTGCAGGACTAAGCTTTTAGTAACAATATAAACAAAGCCACCACCAGGCTGATAATTATCACCAGGAGATTAATGTCCCTAAAATGTCAGGGACCTAGAGTAGAATTTCATATTAGAATTTCATCAGGTCAGTGATGCTCACCAAAATATAACATATTGAAAAAATTACATGTGACGGCACACCCATTCCAGTATCTAATTTGTTCAGGATGATGAAAGGTCCTTATCAATTAATTTGTAAGTGCCCTAGTTAGCATATTCTACTGTCCCGATAACTGGGGAGGGATGAACTATCTTCAAAGGAAATATGTATGTTTTAAGAGAGGGAATGTCTTCAATATTCTGTTATTTTTATAATTTCTCAGACTTGACAATATATTATAATTTGGGGCTGGTTAATCTTTCAGTTGGAGATTTGCCTCGTGCATTGTAGTGTTATATATAGCTCTCAAAGATTTTCACACATCTGACAAATTTGAACCTCTTAATTCCTGTCCAACAGATGAGCAAATTCTAACTACTGCTAATGTCTGCTTTCTGTTTCAAAATGTGAAAATGTTAAATTTGCTGTACACTAAAATATAAATATTTCATAAATATAATATTGCTTTAAAAGCTACCACAGGTTCAATAGTGCCAACATCAGGAACCCTCCAATCCCATTTCTGCCATGAACTTGGCTGGTCCCCTTGGGAAGCTGCCCCACTCACAACCCAGGTCTATTTCTTTTACCTGTGAGCCAAGGTTGATCCAGGGGAGAGTTAGAGATCCTCCCTGCTCAAGCCCTATAATGTCCTGGATCTCTCCCAGGAATATTTCGTTTCTACTTAAGACACCTTGAGGTGACTTTTAACCTGCATGGCATACAGCTCCCATCACACAAAGCCTAAGAGGACATTCTTGGTTGCAATGCCTCCCACTCAGATGGCTACCTGGTTCCAAAGGCCTCCCGTAAAACCCAAGAATTTCTTAATAACCAACGGCATCCCTTCTATACTTTTGGTTCATCTTTCTGCCTCAATCAAGTTATTAGGTGCAATTTCACAATCAATTTATGAGGGACAACTTTAAGAAAGGCCAAAAGAAGCAGGTCACTAATATGACTAGAGATATATATAGTAGGTTCCTTCTCTGCACTCTGCACATGTGGTCCCTGAAAGTCCTGTCCCTTTTCCACCTTATCCAAGCTCTGGGATACTCCCCTGGCCACCACCAACACACATACACCAGGGCACCCATTAAGCAGCGGGGATCCATGTCCTTTACAAGTATGTGCTTGGCGGGGGGGGGAACCAGCCCACCCACCAGCCCACCCACGTTTTAACTCTGTTGTTAACTTCTAACAAACTGCTTCCTGAGTGGGGCCTGACCTGAGGCTGAACTTGATGACCTCCCAGTTCCCGAACTGCTGTATAGATCAAAGTCACTCGCAGGCACTGCCCTGCGCTCGCCCCAGAGCTCCTCCCGGAGCTCCAGAGGACCTGCAGGGACCTGTCCGCGGTGGCAACGCCCAACTCCCGCGGGGTGCATGGCCCTGGCTCTCCGGGGTTCCTGTGATACCCCAGGGGGCTGGCCTTTACCTCTTCCAGCAGCCGGTAGACGCTGATCCCCGAGGTCTCCAGCAGCAGCTCCCATTTCCCAGCCACTGCTGGCTGCTGGAGCTCGGCGCAAGCCTTCCAGAACTCCTCGTCGGAGAAGTTGCCCCCAGCAGCTGCCATCATTAGGCAGCCAGACCTGCTAGGCCTGCAGCTCAGGCAGGGGACAGGCTAGGTTTGTGCTGGGGGGGGGGACAAGGTGGCCACAGCGTCATTGGCAGGGAACAGAAAAGGCGGGACTTAGGTAGGAGGTGGGGTCGAAAGGGGCAGGACCCTAGAGGGTGGCCCTTAAAGTGGGCGGGACTGGGTAAGGTGTGGGAAGGCTGGAAAAAGTAAAACTAGAGAAAAGTTGGAATTGATCTTGAGAAAGAGGGAGGAGCTAAAGAACTGGGGCGCAGGGGTGCGGGGGGCGGCGGCGTCTTTAGAGTTAAAGGACAAGTGAGAGAAAGGAAGACACTGATGTCAATGCGAAAACACTTCACCAGGAGCCCATCCCATACTCTTCTGCCATATCCTCCAAACCTGCGTGGGGGGTCCCTAACCTCTTTGAAGAACACCGAAAAAGTCCCTCTGGTAGACTTGGGAAGCAAGAAAGGCAGACCTGAAATGCTTAAAAATCTTAGGGGTCAGATGCTAAACCGTATTACAATATTACTTCTCTTTTCTGTTTTGCATTTTAAAGCATTATTCCAAGAAGGGATCCATGGGATTCAACAAAAAGCCAAAAAAGAATTCGTGGCACAAAACAGTTAAGAATTCTAATCCACAGTGGATGTACAAGGTTACTTGCCAACCCAAAGGGTAAAACTTGATCTAAAAGGCTTCATGGCATTCACCCAAGATTTCTGCAGCTTGCATAATTTAGATCTTTGTGCATCTCAAAGATCTTTTGCTGCTTTGAAGTCCCTTGGGTATTACTATATTACCCATCAAAAGGTTCTACCTGGCTTGGAATACAGTAGGTAGCTGAAACATCAAAATGATGTAACAGCCACAAGAGTGCCAACACATTCTAGAAACCAGGTTTCCCAGTCTCAAAAATGGGTCAAGAATTGTACTACCAGCTAGCATTGAGGTAACCGGACGCAGAATGTATTTGTCCGGTGCCTGTCATAGCAAATGTTCAGTGAAATCTTCCACTTTTTTTACATTGCTATATTGAAATGTCATTCTTTCTGTACTTGAAAGAAAGTTAATGGGAAATTCGGTTTATAACAATTTACACGAAGGGAAACAAGATCACATTTGACAGGCTGCTTCGACACAGATAAGTAACTGCTCAATTGAGTGTCATTTATGTTTTCTTGTAGAGGAGTGGAAGAAAGGAAGTGGTATTTTCCTAGACTAAATACCCAAAAGATTAGAGACATACTTTCTTACTTTCATACTTTAAAAAGCAATTGCATCAAAAACCATTGGCTATAAAGCTTTCTTTTTGGTACCATGGATTGAACCCAGGGATGTTTAACCACTAAGCCACATCCCCAGCCCATTTTATTTTTCATTTTGAAACCAGGTTTCACTTAGGTTTTTCAGGCCTTCACTAATTTACTGAGAATGGCTTTGAATTTGCAATCCTCCTGCCTCAGGCTCCTGAGTTTCTGGGATTACAGGGGTGCACCACCATGTCCAGCTTATTATGAAGCATCTTGAATCCACTATAAAGGTGTCACTCTGATGAAGCTACAGTGTTATCATCCTACAGCAATTGATGGATGATAACAAGGCCAAGAGTATAAATGGCTTTATACAAGATATAAGAAATAAGGCATGGAATGCAAATTTCATTTACTACATATCTTTAAAAGTTTGTTATCATGAAACTCAGGATAAAAATGCATATACGTTTGGATATGTTGAGATTTGCACACATATTATTTTATTAAACACAGGACAGAAGAATGTTAGGATTGTATTTTATACAGTCTGAAAGATTTAGAAAAGACTTAGGAAATTTAGCCTGTTGTCCTTGAACATTTGCCTTAATAGGCCAGCCAGTTTCCAGGAGCGGAGTGGTGGTGGGGCAGAAACTCTCTGGAGAAACTTCTGTCCACATGTACTAAAACCCTGGCATCAAACATAGAAATGCTGGCTGCGCATGGTGGCACACACCTCTAATCCCAGCAGCTGGGGAGGCTGAGGCAGGAGGATCACAACTTCAAAGGCAGCCTCATCAATGGCTGCTAAACAACTTAATGAGATCCTGTTTTTCAATAAAATACAAAAAAGGGCTGGGGATGTGGCTCAGTGGTTGAGTGCCCCTGAGTTCAATCCCTGGTACTCTCCACCAAAAAAAAAAAAAAAAAAAAATGACATGGAAATGCTGGATAAAATATATCCAGAATAGTTTTGAATACAGATCTTAGCTGAAGAAAAAGTTCCTTCCAGATTTCAGAAAAGGAAGAGGGAATGAAACCCAGTGACACACACACACTAGATATTCTTAGCATGGATGAGCCCTGCTCCCCCACCCCATGTCCTCCTATGGAGGAACTTCCAGCAGGGAAAGTAGTACTTTTGGCCTCACTCATTCACTGAACTCCTCAGAACATGGTGATTTAAATGGCTGATGGGTTTAGGAGAAGGGACAAGAGGCCAGGCTGAATCAATACTTTCTGGTTCCTTTCTGGCAGCTTTGTACTGACTTTTCATCTGTCTCTGTTGGGTCAAGGGGCGGACTATCATCCTATTGTTGCCAAAGAGCCAAGGCCTGTTCTCTAAACAGGCTTATAGTAATCAAGGTGAAAATCGGCTCTGCTTCAGCATCACAGGTAGGGAAGACAGAACTGTTATTATAAATCCAAACAGACAGAAGCACTAGGGGTTGCAGGCTGAGGGTTCATGATTCACACATGAACAGAGGACAGGAAGCTGGGCACAATGGTGCACCCTTGAAATCCCAGCCTCTTGGGAGGCTGAGGCAGGAGAGCAGCAAGTTCAAGGGCAGCCTGGGCAATTTGCCAAGACTCTGTGTAAAACAAAAATTAAAAGCATCAGGGACATATATATACCTCAGTGGTAAAGCACCCCTGAATTCAATCTCTAACACTAAAAAAAAAAAAAAAGAAAGAAAGAAAAAAATTTAAAAAATTAAGAAAAAAACAGAACACACGGATCTGGGTCACAGTGTTGGAGAGATGGACCAGGGGTCTCTCATAGATCCTGAATCCTCCAAGATCTATCCATGTCCTTCACATGAAATCACAACACTCCCATCTTCTAGGCCATGGAAACTTCAAGGAAGCTCATGTTCTTTCTACAGCCTTAGAAGAAAGAAATAAAAAAGCACTGAGAAAAATTAGACTATAAGTCTTTGTCAGAGGTGGGATTCAAATCTACATCACCTGCACTTTACCTGTTACTGTTCGGGAGCCACAGGTTGTCCCATTAACACAATATCTGGATCAGGACCATTGAACCCCTTGGATCCTGCTAGAATCAAAACCAGGACAGTTTCACAATCAGGACACATGGAGTTACTACAGAGAAAACAACACCCACAGAAGGCGAATGTGCAAGTCACCAAGACCTGAGGAAACCAGCTGGAGATGGAGCACTGGCATGGGTGAGTCTCTGGGTTCTGCTCCAGCAACCCCCCACCAAACAAATAAATAAGAGTCTGTTGATTAGAAACAAAGAACTACAGATAATAGATCAATATAAAAGTGATCATTTAATGTATTTTTAATGAACAAATAAAAGAAGGTCCAGAAACTATAATAAAAGAAGAGAACCTGAAGAAAAAAGATAAATGACTTTGAAAAAGAACAAAATACACTTTCCACAACTGGAAAATAGAGTCATTAAAAATTGGAGAGAGAAAATAGTTAGCCTAAATTCAAGAGAGAGAAGGGAATAGAAGATGTCAATGAGAAAATTTCCCAGAAAGTAGCAGAGATAAAAAGAAACGGAAAATGTAAAAGAGTAATGCTGAGGGCACATTGAAGATGCCAAATATTTCTGACCAGAATTCTACAATGAAAGAGTAGAGGGTTTATGAAATGGGATTGGTAAGTCAGTAAGCAAAAAGGAAAAAAAGGGTGGGGTGCATACAAAAACAAAGTGGAGCTAAAATTCCCGACAGCAATAATCCTTAAATAGGGGATAGTAAGGTCAGAGTTTTGTTTAAGAGATAAATAAGAGATATTGATTGATTTTAGAGTAAACTGTGCATATAAAAACTTAAGGGTATGAACTCTCAAATTTCAATGATAACAAAACAAACTATGCAATAAAAGTGGGGAAACTATTTAAATAGACATTTCATTGAAGAACCAATGGCAAATAAAGACATGAAAAGATGCTCAACATTATTGGTCCTTAGGTCATTAAAACCAACTATATAGATATCCCCATTAGAATGATTAAAATAAAAAGATTGATCAAAGCAAGTGTTGGCAAGGATGTGGAAGAACTAGGACACTTATACATCCATGAGAGCAATGTAATGGTCGAGATACTTTGGAACTATTTAGCAATTTCTTAAAATGTCAAAATACACCTACCATATAATCCAGACTTTCCATTCCACCCAAAAAACTATAAAGCATTGTTCATACCTACATTTGTGCACAAGTATTGATAAAAATTTTATTTGTATCAATAAAACACTGGAAAAAATCCAAATGATCTACAGTGGGTGAACAGACAAAACAAGTTGCTACATATTTGTCAACATAGACTAGTCATCAAAAAGATAGTAAGTGATGAAAGTATGTATATATAACTGTTCTGGGTGTGTAGCTGTCTCTGTTCATTAAAAAATGGTGTAGTAGCCAGATTCGGTGGCACACACCTGTGATCCCAGCTTCTCAGGAAGCTGAGGCAGGAGAATTGCATGTTTCAGGTCACCTTTAGCAAATTAGCAAGATCTTGTCTCAAAATAAAAAAATAAAATAAAAGGGGCTAGAGATATAGTTCACTGGGTTCAATCACCTATATCAAATAATAATAACAACAATAATAATGTAAATAAATAAGGCATAGTAACCTAGAAGAATTGCCCCCCTCCATGATCTCTGTCATCAACGAACACACCCAGATCTTGATTTATAAATCTTGGCTTCTGCATATCATTCTCTAATAAAAGTTTCTCAGAAAAACAACCCATTCAAGGTCTGATACAGGGAACTTGCAGGTAAGCCTTAGACATGTTGTGACTGAGAGTAAGAGATGCTCACAGACTAACTG